GCTCCTGTAACAAAGACAAAAAGCTGGACAGATATTTTGCAAAATAATAGAAAAGGTTTGGTAATAAGAATGCAAGTTTTAAATACCGCCAAATTTTACCATTGGGTATTAGCTACATTTCTGATTAAAAATTATGTGGGAGTGGATGTGTAAGAGATGTTTCTACTTCTTCATCCATTTAACTTTCAGGAACATATGAGAAGACGGCACAAAAAGAGGCAGTTTCTTTGAACTTCACTATTGATGTTTTTTTTTTTAAATCAGCAATCAGAAAACATAAAAAAGAAGGAGAGAAAGATAAGCTACTTATGGGCAAGTTACATATAATGGCATATCTCACTGGGCACCAGAGAATCCAGAAGGAAAAAACCTTCAAATTCCAAAACTGCTTGAAAGCCTGCAGACAGAATTTGCACTTGCTTAGACTCTGCAGTTCATCTCCACATGCAGCACAAACCAGGCTTCGTTAGTCACAGAGCTCTCAGAAGTACTTGCTTAACAAACCTTTTGATTTTAAAACAAGCATGAACTCTGGACACCAGCTAATGATTTTTGTGCTGACAGTAGTAGCCTTGCTGATATGATGTGTAGCCTCAGATGGTAAAATTGGTTCACATTCTTTTCATTCAAATGTCTAACTGGACCTCTATTATATGAGCTGGAAGTTCTGGATATAAGGAGCGCCATTTATCAACATAGTTGCTGTTTTGCTCTGTGTTAGGTATGGAGCTGGACTAATAGTTATCGTAGGAACTTTTCCCCATGCAGACAGCAGTACTGCAGATATATTGAGCTTCACCTTAAACAGGAATGATTTCAGCAAATAAGGTATATTATTTCATCTTAGCACAAGTGCAATTCATAAGTAATAGGCAATTTGTGACTTACTGGCATTCCAGCAGTCACAAAGTTTTCCTCTGCTAGCTAGCTAGATAATGACTTCTTAGGGTGAAAGCTGGTGTACCATGTTACATTATACAACACAGAAGTCAGTCAAAAAAAAAGAAGAAAAAAGAAAAACTGAGAGAGAAAAAAATAATTGTTTTTCGATAAAAGAGGTGTTAGGAGCTACAGGGTCTTCACAAAACAGCTTTTAAAGAGCATGTATTCATTCCACCTCTTTTGAAATTCAGTTACAGCTAAGTGAGCTATCACAAGCAAACTATTTCACTGAACTGAACAACAATAAACCAAAAGGAGTAGAAGTACTAAAAGCATGCCCGAGGCAACAGAAACTTTGGTGTTAATTTCCATTTCTTTCAAGTGCATTTGATGAATGATGTGACAAAAGAATCCTAATTAAAGTCGAAATCCTGAATACTAAATAAATTAGAAGTGCCACTACATTCATCTTCTACAATGATAATACTGCCACTTCTGCTTCTTCTCTGTGCCCCTTTGCTTACATCTGTGGCAGTAACTCAGCAAAGGGCACTGCCAGCACAGACGGAGGAATGGATACTGTTCCCCCAGATAGAGAGATAAGAGGACAGACTGCTTTGTTTCCCTTCACTGCCTTCAATTTACACAAAGAAAGCCTATCAGGAGCTTTCAAAGTATTTTTAGATATTTATTTTTCCTCTCAAATGACTTAAAACTTGACAAGCAACACTGCACTCTCTGGTCTTTAGTAGCAACAGACAAGTTGCTGTTTATGGCCATTAATTTTTTATTTCTTTTATTACTGGAAAATCATTAAATACTTGAGATAATATATAATCCTAATGGGTTGGAAAGCAACACTGAAGGGATGAAATTCTATGACTTGTGTCACAAAAGCCAGGCAAGACAATCATAAATGACCTTAAAATCTATGAATCTTTCAAGGAGCTGCCGCATTCAATAAGCAGACTGGAACATGAATTATGACTCCCCAGAGACATCCTTTCCCTGCTCCCCTTTTGTTCCAGGGAGCAACTCTGAAATACTTCAGGAGAAGTTTATATCCCCAGCATGCCAGAGCAGTAGGCTTGTCTTTTTTCATTCACTTTGCACTCCTTACAGAAAGAAGGCTGGCAAAGAAGGGGCCTCTTCTATTCCCACCGTAACTACACTCCAAATCTGACAACACAAACAAAAGTGATGTCTCAGTGTCTCCAAGTCCCATTTGTACTGTCTACAGCCTGTGTCAAGGGAAGTCCTAAAACCAGCCTGGAGTCAATCAAGAGCTCAAAGGGAGCCGTGTAGTCCAAAGTCCCAGCATATTAGTCAGTGACTAATAGTGGCTGCCTATCAGGAAAATGTGTAAAAACCTGACCAGCATGTAATGACACTTCTCCAAATTATTGTCCCAGAACCTAGCAATTGAGAGAAAGTTCTGACTTGGAGTTAATGCCGTATATTTAATGACTCATGATGTATTGCACCTACACAGAGCACACATGACTCGTCTGACACAGTAAAGTACTCCAAACCTACAATAGCATAGGACAAACAATGTGGCATGCCTTGTTATAATCTTCTCAGAGCAATACCACACTTCTTGCCTCTTTTTAAACAATGTCATTTCTTTTTATTTTCTAGATAACAAACTCTCTCCTTTACCCTTTTCATTTGAGGTTTTAAACAAGTTTTCTGATTTGTTCTATGAAAACGTTTTTTTTCAGAGGAAACAAAAGAGAGAATTATTTTAATGAAAAAAATAAATCACTTGCTTATATCTGCCTGATATATTTTAAGATCTGATTTTACTCCCAATGTATCTAGTGAAATTGTAGTGGGATACAATTTTAAAGTACTGTGAGTGAAAAAGCTGCTTGTGTCTACCTGGTGCATAATTTCCAGAATTCTTGTCACCATGTGAATTTTGTAGCCCTAATTTTCCCCTATTAATTTTGGATTGATATTTAGAAAGGATGTTTCTTGATCTTAACTGTAATAATGACAATTTCAGTGATCACAGTGGGTTGTTGGGCTAATTATTCTATATAGGTAGTTATATATAGATTTAATAAATTGCCTAAGTAGGAGAGACATGCTGAGACACATATTGTATCATATTTGTTATTGAAGTGCCTTACACATGCAAAATTGAATATTTGCAGCACCAGCTCTTGAATTTTAATTTTGCATTCAGCTGCTAACAGTGAAATATTTTATTCCAATTTCACTCAGGAAAAAGAAAATTTTCACCCCATCTTTAAAAATGCACAGGAAAAGAATTATCTTATTATGCCTTTTTCACACAAACATCTTCTGATACAGGCATGTAATTTACATTTTCCATTATGCTTAAAATCCTTATAGTTTGTCAGTCAAGTACCATGAATCCATTTTTTCCTGTTTTTTGAATGACTTCATATTTATGTCTTGTGGAGCTGTTTATGGAAGAAGGTAAGCAAGAGAAATTTAATAAGCAATGACTGAAACTTGGGAACTTAGCAACTGAGGTACATGCTTTGTAAAAAAAAGGTGAACAGAAGCAAGAGAGATTTCTCAAAACAAATGCAAGAGAGGAATTTGGAGAATTAACTTGCTTTGTTACAGGTGCTCTCGCATGGTACACCACATAGATTAATGAAGCCACTGCAGGTTTTTCTTTCTTAGGGCTAGACTAGATTGTATTTGGTCTTCGCCATCACTTTGATTTCTTTATCACTGACCTTGATCCTTCTGCCACTACTGTGATCTCTGGGGATTAAGTGCCCAAAGGTTATCAACTTAAATACATGTATATGAGTTGTCATATCTGGATTCTTAATAATTGATTGTCCAAGCACTTCTGCACAATGCACCTTGCTTTTTGCTTTTTGTGGGTTTTTTTTTGGCAGAAGAAGTGCCCTTTCTTAGAGCAAAGTTCAGCTGCTCTTCTTTGGGGTATGTGAGTGTCAACTAGTGTGATAAAGCATAAAAATACAAGCTTGTCAGTAATGACCCAGTTGGTAGCACACAGAACTCTTGGCTAAGAAGTCAGAGAAAGTTCTTGTGCTGCTTTTTTCCTGGGACTAGTGAAAAATGCATCACGCGATTGTCATTAGGAGAAATTTAGGTTTGATTGTGAATTTTAAAGGAAATTATCCTCTTCCAGAGCTACAGAAGGAAAAGGTATGCTTGTTAGTCATTTAAAAATATTGCAAATGATCTGAAATGAGTTTTAAATCTATTAGTGGGCCAAAAAGAAATGAATTCAAAGATATGCTATCTCTGCTCTGAGATTTATTTGTCCTATAAATATATATATAGGGATTTTTTTAAACTTGTTCATTTTAACGTTTAAGAAGTGTTTTGCAGGCTGGTAGTTTTTCCAAGGACTTTACTAAAATTATGTTTGTTTGTTAATATGCTTGTTTTAAAGTTTATAAACTGGCCTGTACTCAGTGGTTTTACTGGAAGACTTGAGCTATTTAATTCATGTTTAGATCACTGCTAGTAGAAAGCAGATTATGTAAAACTAGTGGCCTTGGATGTTGAAAAAGTTTAGAAAGCAAGGTTAACTGAACAGCATCATTTGTTACATATGCTGTGCACACCAGAAAGGTACAAAAGGCTGCTTAAGAAAGCTGGGTTTTTATTCAAGTGGATTTGTCACAGAGACATAGAGGAGCATCCTTTTTTTAACAATTGTTTCCGGAGCTATAGTGTTCTATTATCACATAAGATAAATCTGCAAAGCATAGAAGAGAGTAAACTGTTCAGTTGTATAATGTTTCCCTATGCCTTTAAAGTTTTATAATGTCTTTTATCGCTACAAGGGGAAACCTGAATCTTTTATCAACTAGTTCAAAAAAGCAATCCATTTAAATAATGTGTCTGGAACTGTAGTCTATGGAGATAATCAGTAGCTTATTAACCTTAATCATAACAACACATTATCGCTATTTGGTTTCATGTTGACTAATTTGCAGAACAATGGGGAAGAGCACACTCAGCACATAAGACTATTCCTAGTTCTTGGCACTGCATAAATACAGTGACCCTCACTTGAAATGTCAGAGACTTAAGAAAAAGCTGTATCATATGATGAAGGAAGAGAGTTGGGGAAAAAAGGATCATGTAATCAGAGAGTTATAAAGTAAACACTTGTTAAACCCCTGGACAAAGTGAGATCATCATCAAACAGATACCTAGAGCACAGAATAAAGGTCAGTTACCTTTTATCATGTTTGTGTAGCTTCAGTTGAACTAACAAGCAGCAGCATGTGCTTAAGGTCATAGTTAAACACTTTTGCCTTGGTAAATGAGCTGTGTATTCAGTTCTTCCTTTTCAAGAGCATGGCCATATTGGCACTCTGATCTACAAGAAAAAGACAGACATCAGAAAAGGAAGCAATTTACCTGGGGACAGAAATAAGTCATTTCAGATGGTATAAAGAAATAATAATGCCAAAAACTAAAATTAATAAGTCAAAACACAGTGGACAAACCTTAAAAATAGAACAGTTCACTTTAATTTTGGGGAGTGAAAGTGCAGAACTTTTTTTCCCTCCAGATTTGTCAAAATCACAAGCGATGCTTTACCTTGAATTATTTCAACATTAAAGGTACATTTCCTCATATCTGTACACTTCCTGTGGAAATTCTAGTTTTCAATCCTGATGAACTTACTACTTTGTACGAATGACACAGATAAACCTACAGATCAGGAAGAAATATAAGACCTATGAGAGATTTAGATGGCATAGACTCCATCCTGAAAGGGGGAATATGGATGAATAAACAACTTCTAAGGCAGTGTAATATGCCTTGCCTCACAGAAGCATGCTAACTAATATATAGCATGCATATAACATATAGAAGCATGCTATATAGCAGTTCCATTGAATTCATTCAGAAAAGGAAATTTTAGAGGTATTGAGGTAATCTTTTCAGATGATGTAAGGCTATAACATTTTCAGTGGGAAATACTATAAAAACTGCAGCATACATCTAAATATTTCAACATAATAAAATCAAGAAGTTTTAGGTTCTGTATTATGGAAATAACCTTCTTAAAAGTGTTTACAAAGTAAAAATTCAGTTCACAACACTTCAAAATATATTAGGTAGAATTCTGCTACAATAAACTTAAGAAACCTGAAATACACCATCTTCTGCCTTTTCACTGAATTATGCTATGCCACCATATGTCTTTAAGTGTATACTGAAGCTTAATAGTTATTGAGTCACAGGACAGCAACAGTTTTTTTTGCATGATTTGCACTTCATAGAAAAATGCATAAACTTAAATTGGCCAGAGTGTTCACACAGAATAAGATTCTGCTACAGGGTGAACTTTTTAATGATGCTTGTTTGTGTAGCTGTTTCCGTGATGGAGAGATTGGTAGCAATATGTTTATGCTTTGATAAGAGTTCAAAACCTGTCTTTTATAAATTGCAGTAGAGAAGTGAATACCACTAATATAGTGGTAGTGCTGCTGCAGCCACAAGGGTTAAAAAAGAGGTCATTAGACACTGGTTTTATTAGATTAGCCTGCAAAGTTGGGAAAAAAAGAAAAAGTAGAAAAGTTTTGGGGACCAACTATTCAGGTGTCAAACAGAATCAGCAAGACATTAAATGTGCAAAAAATTCTATGAAAATGGACTTGTTCTCCATAACACAGGTTTTGTTCTTTTTCTTCTTTGTTCTTAATATTTAACTAGACTAATAAAACAGGAAAATTTCTAGAAATAGCAGATCAGTTTGAAATGCTGCAGTCCATGTTCTGATATTAGAAAAGTTGAATGAATTATCGAGAGTATTTCACCAAGATTTTACTTGGCACAGAGGATAATTATTTTGTAATGGAAGTTTTAAAGGAGGAGGAAATAAAATAGAATGAGAGAAGTAAGCATACAGTCAAACTAGGAATAGTAACTGAGGCTGATGAAGAAGGTCAAATCCGGGGATGCTGGGTAAAGTTAAATGTAATTTTAACTGTAAAGTTAAAATGAAGCCTCAGCCAATTATTCTTGACCATAACCAAACCAGCAAGTTTTGGGAGAAAGAGGCAATTACTTTGGTGAGACTTCCTTATTTCAGTGATACACGTTTACAATTCTGTAAATGCATTTATTGCCATTTTGTCTTATAAATGGTGCAGTTAATAACGGCTCTAAAAAACAAAACTTCCCCACCTTTTCCTGCTAGCATCAAAGCTCTCTGCATGAGAGAGTAACTGTGCTTTTTTACTTATGTGTCATTGCTCTATCAGTCCCAGACCAGAGTAAAGTATCTGATAAAGATCTGCAGTGGCTTGGTTTCTAAATCTGCTAGGGACTAGACAGAAAAAAGGCCCCAGTAATTCACACAGGCCACAGGATCGGACTGAGATGAAAATGTCTCACATGTATGATACATGAAAAGACAATGACCCCATAACAAGTTTTATCTTACACCAGATAAATACTCTTGTACATTCAGGGCTCTGGAAGCAAATATCTGCCTACATTTATGTATTTTTATCCTTAAAATGTTTAGCGATACTGCTTATAAATAAGCACAGATTCACATTATCTAAAACTGTATCTTCTTCATTTCAAAACAGTGAAGAAATTTGAAACTCATTTTATGAGGCTGTAGGATCTGAATTTTACTGAAGTGTGCTGTGAGCAGATTACACTGTTAATGTATGTATGTTGGTCTGATCTGAAAATGTATCTGATTATGCATTACTTTAGGCAAATATTGCCCATAAACTTAAGTGACTACTCAAGACTTTGTCTAAATGGCAAACAATAAGTATAAAAACTGGAATTAGCTTTCTTGGTGCTGTTTGGTACCTAATGACGAACTGAAAGCATTTAAGTATGAAGAAAAAAGCTGATCTCATCCTCTTGCCTGCCTCTTAGTCCTTTACCATGTATTTTGCTTATGTAGTAGAAGAGTATCGGTTCATGATAAAATTACGACGTCTTCACTTAATAAAGAAATTATGTTTTTATTCAGTGTTTGTGTTGATATCTTAAGTATCACGCACACTGCTATGTAGTGACAAGACCCAATGCACTTTGGCTTCGTTTCAGTATAAAAATACGAAGATGTTGATTTAATTACCATGCTGGCAATAAATCTGAAAGCATGTTAGTGAGTATTAACGTCACATGCTTAACCAAAAGAATTCCTGAAGTCAGCATGCTATTTTATCTTCTTTAAAGCATTAGTAATAAGGAGTTGAATACATATTTTAATAAGAATTTCATATCTTGCTAGATAATAGTTGGTTAAAATTGAAAAATCTACCTTCTGTACACACAGAACTTATGCTGTATTTTTGCAAAATAGTAACAATGATGACAAAAGTAACTGAATTCCAATAGAATCTATCAAGAATATCCAGACAAAACCAGAAGCAATTATATTATTCAGCTGAAGAATTTTCCAGTTATCAAGATAAACATTCTGGAGATTTTATTTGGATTATTTTAAGAAATCCCACACAGTCTGAACAATTAATTACATGAAAATCATCATGAAACTTTTTATGTTTCCTTTAACAGAATGTTTTATATCTTTTTCTAACAATCTTTGAATCCCATTAGAGACTGAATTCATCAAAGATTTAGATGAGAAATAGAAGCTTCTGTTTCAGAAAACAGAATGGCAGCTAGACAACAGAAAACAGATGCCAATTATTTGTCTGCGTCTGTGGTAGAACAAAACATTTTATGACATTTACATATCCTTAGCAAAACTGCCATTGATGTCAGAGAAGTACCAGTCAGAAGGTTCTGAAACAAGACTCTATATAATGGAGGACTGCAAATAATTTCTTTCACTTTTATAAAGATGACAAGAGGAAAAATATGCAGTACTTTGTATAGAGTAGCAACAAAGCTATGTATATTAGCAAAATCTGGTCTAAAACGGCCTCACACTGTAAAACTAGAGTTGCTTAAATGAAGTGAAAACAGAATTTATACTGCTTGGATTTAGTAGCCACACAATTGGATTTATTTTGTCATAGACTGAACAAGGAAGAATTCAAGCTATACAACAGAAAATAAAACTAATCTTTTGTCTTTTTAACTTTTGTTTGGCCTAAGTACATATTTGTAAGGTGGGCTAGTCTTCAGCATGTGCCATCCAAAGAATACAGGAGCTGGCACCACTCTATTTACCTTTAACAGAGTAACTTAACACAGTATTTATTATTGGTAAATTTTAAGTCAGATCAGCAGAAAGTAATTCTCTTAATCTAGACTGAAACCCAAAACTTTTAGTTTGATTTGAAGCAACCTTCCAGTACCTGAAGGGGGTTTATAAGGATGCTGGGAAGGGACTCTTCTTTAGGGACTGTAGTGATAGGACAAGGGGTAACAGCTTAAAACTTACAGGGGAAGATTAGATTGGATATAAGGAAGAAATTCTTCCTGTTAGGGTGGTGAGGCACTGGAATGGGTTGCCCAGGGAAGCTGTGAATGCTCCATCCCTGGCAGTGTTCAAGGCCAGGTTGGACAGAGCCTTGGGTAGCAGGGTTTGGTGTGAGGTGTCCCTGCCCATGTCAGGGGGGTTGGAACTAGATGATCTTAAGGTCCTTTCCAACCCTAACTATTCTACTGATCTAGGATTCTATGATTCTGCAACATTTTTAATGCAGCAAACACTGTAATTAGATGGTTACATGAACAAACATGGCATACTTTTTGTGGTATACCTTATTTTATCAGCATGAACTATACAGACAAAGTGATTTCAGGAAATTGAAATTGTACTGGTATTACAAAACTATGCCTGTTTCATTCTGCCAGTCAGCCCTTTCTAGCACTGACTAGGTCTGATACTAAGTGGAAAGAATGTCCACCAGAAGGAGTGTACCCTGAAGATCAGTGTTTGCAATGGAAGATAATGAAGTTGAATGGTTACTTTCTGCACAAGACTATGTAAACTACAAGGGAATGCATGAGAATTAATGAGAAAAAAAATACTGCTGCAAGCAGTTATATGTGATTTACCAAACACTATATTGCACATCAATCCTCCTAGGACTGACTCAGAAAGATGTCTGTAAAGGCCTTTCTACCCACATTGCCCTTGTCTTCAGTTCAACTTGTAGTTTTGGAGTCCTTTATTACAGTGGCCTTATCATCTGTCAGTGACTACCACATGCAGTTTCATTTCATTTTCCTCTTTCCGCTCTTCCCTCTAAAATACCGAATTCAAATGACATCCCAAGTGTATCACACCTCAACCACATCTCTAAAAAAGTACCTGATGATGAGAATAAATCACCAAGTCCCATTCAAAAAACTATTAGTACAAAAGTCTGGTGCTCACATTAACAGTTGTTGTTTTGGTGGCTGTGTTTCAGAGAGGTCAAGTAGATATAGGTGCCTGTGAGATTTTAGCATGGTTTCCTCAGGGCCAGTATGCAGAACGAGTCACAACAGAAAGAACAAAGTAGTAGTAAGCAAAGAAGCTCCTGGATGCCATTATTGAAGCAGAGGGACCAAGCTCCATCAGTTGTTATTTCACAGGGTCAATTTTTGCTGCAATGTTAATTGACCTTTTTTTTTCTTACATGGTGACTGAAATTTGCAACATCCACTTTCTAGAGTTTTATTCTTTTTGAATGTACTTGCTCTACCGTGAAAATAATAATTTTCACTGACATTTTCATTAATATTTTCTGGAAATAGAAATTTTAAACTTAATA